ACTCTCTTTATTAGACCAGGATTCGGATTAATTGCATTTTGTCAAAATCTATTGATATTCGCAATGGTACCCATCGTAAGGGTTGCCCTTTATCACCATACCTATATTTCCTGGCTATGAAGATGGACATTCTCCATAGACTCTTCTACCTTTTCCAAATGATCCCCATAACTTTACCCTCTTCCTTTTTTTAGCTCTTTATGTTCCTCATTCTTGAAGATTATTTGGTCCAATTCTCCAGCTAGGATTCGTTTATACTGTCCTGATTAAATGCAAGCAATTTGGGGGAGTTGGTTTGCCACAGATAGAATTGTGTTATAAGGAGGCTTTGCTTATGAGATTGCTTGAAATCCATTTACTACCCTTCCCAGAAATGATGGGTTCATTTGGATTTCCTTATCTAACATATTCCTCCAACTTCGTTGCCATGGCTGGACTCTTCTCTTTGCCCACCTAGTAGGACGCTTCCTTATTGTCTCTGACCACTTTTAAGGGTTTGGAATCACCTCCTTAAACAATTCCCTCTCTTCACACCCGGGCCCTCTTACGCCCATCATTGGGAATCCGGAGTTTCCTCTAGCTTTCCATTGTCAGCAGTTCTTGAAATGGGATAGGATATCCTTTTCCTACTAAGTTTGGCTTGGGGGAGTCGGGGCTTGCACCCTCTTAAGGGTTTATTAGCGGACTCCTTAAACACAACGGGGCGATGGTTGGAATATTTTTAACCACTGTACTTTTGTACTATATTACAAAGCAGGTGTCTTCTTACCTCTTTGAATGCTTATGTGTAGCGCCTAGTGCACCCTTCCGCCCATTGTCTACTCTGTATAACCATTTGATATGTTTTTTTGAGCAGGATGTTCCACAGTATATGAAGGACTGGATCCCTGACCTCACCTGCTCCTTTTCTGAGGCTGATATTTCTAAGTCCTTCCTCTTGACTCAAGCTTTCCATCGCTAGTACCATACAGGAACACAATTTCAAGATTATATCTCGGTGGTACTATTGCCCTACATGCCATCTATCCTTCGGTATCTGATTTATGCTGGAGATGCCTCTCTGAGAGAGGTTCCATGCTCCACATTTGGTGGTCTTGTCCAGGTGTCCAAAATGTAGGGTGCCCTGTCTTCTCTACATATCACACGGTGACTGGTGTATCTGTGGATAGTTCACCCCAGCTCGTTCTCTTCTCTGTTGCCGGGATCAATCAAATTGGCTCATTCTATGTATATCTTAACTTTTCAATAAAAATGTATAATGCGTAAAAAAAACTACCAGGAGTAAAGGAAAGCATAAAAGATAGTATTTACAAAATATTTTTTTTTTTTTAACTCGGGGGGTCAATATTATTTTTTTGTTTCATTAAAGTGTAAAAAGAGGTGGAAGGTCTGCTTTAAGAAGAAGGATGCTAAAACTTGTTAATGATGCTTGTTGTTGATGATCCTTTTAAAAAGGGAAAAAAACAGTAGCTAGACATGTGTGCCAAAACAAGATGGTAAACGGAATGTTAAAATTCTGGGTGATGCAACCTAAAAGTTTGGCTCTGAGAAAAGGAAATTTGAATGAAATTTTGCTCCAAACCACGCTGAAATAGATTTTTCTATTGAATCCGAAATTCCATTGAAAAATTGGAGGATTCACATACTTGCCATTCCTACACAATTCATTACTTTTAAAACCATATCAAAAAGACACTTGATTACATTTCTTATAAGCCAAACATGATGATAACTTTTATGGTGAAAAATAGATCCAGGTTGGAGATGTAACAAACCATATGGTACATATAGTCGAATTTATCAAAATCAGATAAGTGAACAAAGTGAAGAAAGAAGCTGATTGGTTGACATAGGCAGCTGCTCCAAATTTTGTCTGCTCCAGTTTTGATAAATCTTTTTTTGTATTAAGTGGTATATAGATATGTATAGTAGATACTGCTTGTTCCAAGGTTTATGTAAATGGGCAAAGCTGCTTAGTCGGTATAAATTTGTCTTAATATAAATTATTAGGTATGAATTAATTAAATGTGTATCAGCATTAAACAAATACTTATGTTTTGCTCTCAAGTAAAACAGAGAAGTGCCATCTTACAACTGCTGGGAGAAGAGTTACCTCCGAGAAGTATTGGGGGTGGAAGGTGTGGCATAAGGAGAACATGCAATATATGCAATATATGCATGGTGCGTTCGTGGTGTTCATACACACAATGACATCATCATGTTGAAATCTATCATGTTGATAAATGCTTATAAATATAAGATTAACAAAAGAGCTGCAGCTATTTTGTTATTTTTTTGTACACCATGCACTGATTACTAGCACAATTTGCACCTTCCCGAATGAAGACAGTCTTTGTCGAAACATCTTGGGAATGGATTTTGGGGGTACTGGGTTAATTTGTTAGCTGCAAGCAGTGGCTCTCTAAAAAGAAAGGTAGAAAGGAATATAGATGAGAAAAAGACTGTAAAGAGGCAAAGACCAGATAGATAAAAAGAGAACATCTCTAAGATCCAGAGAGTCAGGAAAATATGGAAAAAATGGAGAGAAAGACACTGAAGTGCTAAAAGCTTGAGGAAAAAGAGAATAATATTTTTAACTAAAATAGCATCACATTGTATAATTGAGAGAAAGAAAGATGGTTATATTAAGAAGAAGAAAGAGACATGATTAATAAAGAAAGAAGAATATAAAGATAGTGAGGGAAAGATTGTTGGACAAAGAGAGAGAATTCCCAGCTGTTCCAAGATCAGCCCAAAATATTGTCACTAAACTCTTTATTTGAACCTACCACTCTCAAGAATTGGAATATAATTCCCCAGATTGTTGGTTCTCATAAATTATTTTAAAAAATCACAGTGGGCTTGTTGAACACTCCATGTATAAAGGAACAACTTCTATAGAAAGGCTTGGTAACTTGAAGTGATTTCTTTATTTCCCTACAGCAGTTTCTTAACAGCTGACAGGCCACCTACTGCAGTCATAAAAAGCTAGTTTTTCTAGGGTCATGAGAGTTTTGGTTCATTGTGGTTTGTTGGCAAAACCTTCAAATAGTGGAAATATGCTCACTTTCATTTAGTAAAATCCGTACTATTTTTGAGTTTTCTAAACAATTTCAGTCCATATTTAAGCTTTTTTTCTAGTTAGAAATCAGTCAGTTTGCTAAAGTGAAGGTTTGCCATTAAATGGGTCAATCACAAATTTCCGCTGTGCATGAGTAAAACAGTATCATGAAGTCCCTGGTGGCATGTTGTCATTATCCCCTTATTTCATACTTTCTGTTCTCTAAATAAAATTAATAAATGCTAAATAGTGCTTCGGCTGAAGTTAATATGCCTTTTTATACAGTGATCAGCTTTGGTGTGTGGCATTTTCTCTCGGGTACCCCTGAAGGTTGTATATTCAATGTAAATATATTGAAGAGCTCAGTTTTGAAATAACTGAATTGGTTAATACACATATTTGATTTTATCTACTACCCATATGCTAAACTGACACTGGCAATTACTTTATTTAGTAGGAGAAACAAAAGGGTACACATGCCACTGTCTGAGAATAGGTATAGGTGTCTGATATAGGTAAAGTGCTGTATTTATAGTAATTAAAGGCTTGTAAAGGTGAGAAAAGCAATTAAAAGCAAAGCCATATATCACTGTCATCTCCTGGGGAAAAATCTCCTCCTAGTTTTATCTGCTAGTTGCTACATTCTCTTACTAAAACTGCTCTATAGCACATTGCTCAAGCTTATTTTAAATGCTTTGTTCAATTTAGCTAATGTAATCAAATTGATATAACAGTAACATACACTGATCAGCCATAACATTATGACCAGTGAGAGGCGAAGTGAATAACCTTGTTTATCTTGTTACAATGGCACCTGGAAGTGGAAAGGATATATTAGGCAGCAAGTTAACTTTTTGTCTCTGAAGTTGATGGTTTAGAAACAGAACAAATTACCAAGCATAAGGATTTTAGCGACTTTGACAAGGGCAAATTGTGATGAATAGACAACTGGGCGAGAGCAATTCCAAAACTGTAGCTATTGTGGGATGTTCCCGGTCTGCAGTGGTCAGGCCCTACCATAAGCTGAAGGAAAGGAAAACCAGAGAACTGGCTAAAGGGTCATGTGCCCTGCCAAGCCTGATTGATGCACGTAGGTACCAAAGACTAGCCTGTGTAGTCTGATCCAATAGAAGAGCTGCATTAGCTCAAATACTGAAAAAGGTAATGCTGGTTCCAATAGAAAGGTGTCTGAACACAGAGTGCATTGCAGTTTGTTGCGTATGGGGCAGGGTGCCTATGCTGACCCATGTCCACCGCCAAAATGCCTACAATGGGCATGTGAGCATCAGAACGTGAACATGTAGCAACGGAAATAGATGGCCTGGTCTGATGAATCACGTTTTCTTTTAAGTCATATGCATGGCCGAGTGCATACGAGTCGCTTACCTGGGGAAGAGATGGCACCATCATCATCTAGCATTTTCTGGAGGCCCATAATGTCAGCCCCATGCCTCTCTGATGATAGTCACTTTGAATGCTGAAATTGTAAGCTAATAATTACCTAACACACACACACATTCTTCTGACAGTGGCCATTTTAACTAAAGGCAGGTTACTAGATCTTCCTTTACTTCCTGGAACTCTGGCACATGTGTCTAGGACATGTGACCATGCACATCATCTCAGGGGAGGAAAAATGCCTTTCCCTGAGATCTCATGATGTTACAGATGAGATTTTGCAGCAATGCTCTGCTGGTGTAACCTTTCCAGGATGCATAGCTTAGGCACAATTACATCATTTGTGCCATAGAGGACCAGGAAGTGGAAAAACTATAATTGTAAGTAAAATAAAACTATGTTTAACTAATGAATGTAAGATTTCATATCAGCATGCAGAGATGTATGCTGATGTGATTGTTAGTCAAAGGGGGTAAAGATCCATTTTAAAACAGGTTAATTCATCAAGTCTACTTCTATACTCTGTTTTGAATCAATTTAGGTACCTATTGTGGCTTTGACAGCAACAGCCAGCCCTTCAATTCGTGAAGATATTTTGAAATCTTTAAATCTGCGGAATCCACAAGTCACATGCACTAGTTTTGACCGTCCAAACCTTTTTCTGGAAGTAGGAAGGAAGACTACAAATATCATACAGGATCTGCAAAAGTTTCTTATTAAGAAGCCAAGGTAAGGACGTGAGATGTAAAGCATTTATATAGGACTAGTTGTTTTTATGCAGGTGTTTTGATGGTATAATACCACACATACAGGTGAAACTCAAATAATTAGAATATCGTGCAAAAGTAATTGCAGTAAGTGCTGCAAAAGGGGCCCAAACCAAGTACTGAGTACATATGCATGCTTGTACTTTTCAGAGGTCCGATATTGTTCTATGTACAATCCTTGTTTTATTGATTGCATGTAATAATCTATTTTTTTGAGGTTGTGGATTTGGGGTTCTTGGGGTTTTCATGAGCTGTAAGCCATAATCATCACAATTATGACAAATCACGGCTTGAACTATCTTGCTTTGCATGTAATGAGTCTATCTCATATATAAGTTTCACCTTTTAAGTTGCATTAGTGAAATAAATGAACTTTGCACGATATTCAAATTATTCGAGTTTCATCTGTAGCTCTTTTATACGTCATCTCTTCCTTGTCCCATAATTTTTACGTATTATCTATATCTTACTCGGCTGCATTTCCTGTTTATTGAATTATAACTTAAATGCTTCCTAAACAAAGCATGCATATATTTTTTTACCAGCAGCTGATGTTTGATCCCTCTGCTATCTGTTCATGTACCAAGAACAGATGAGGGGAAATTGTGAAAAGATTGAATATGGGTTTTGAATCTGTCTACTCTGATTGTAATGAATGTAAAAGTTTATTAGTGCACCGAGACAATTCCGGAGGCATCTCATGATTCTCCATAGCGTGTCTGAAAGCCCACTATGTGGCAACAGTGCTCTGAAATAGCGGTCTGTCCCAACCTCAGGGTCTGTTTTCTCCTCTGGTTTGGTGCCTACAGTTGGTATTTTTTTGAAGGCCTCATTCACACTGTTAAGAGCCAGCGCGTACAGATCCGTGCAGCGTGCATGGCCATATCGAGCCGCTCCTGGGAAGGACAGGTGCTGTGTGTGGTTGCATGCAGTAGCCTGTTCTTCTCTATGGGAGTACGCCGCAGTACGCTCACCCAAACTGCACATTCATGTGGGTGTCTGTGCTTGGACGCATACAGGATCTGTATGGGCCGGCTCTTAACAGTGTTATTGAGTCCTTACTGTAGATGACTTTCAAAGAGGGTGACCACAAATGGAAGCGATACATAGAATAACCCAAATTTTCTTATTGGGGTTCCTGGTGAGGACTGGATCATAGCTGGAGGTTGCACTTATAATCTGTATGACTGAGTCTCTTAAATTCCACCTAAATCCATTTTAACTATAGGTAGGTCGTTAGGTTGAATTACTTCCAGACTTTTCATGTTGCTCAAACTCGTGACAACAACTATACTAAAATCGTGTGTTCTTGTCCCCACCCACAAACATATACCAAAAGTGTTCTGCTCCCTCTTTATTTATTCTATATTAAAGAGCATTGTTCAGTGAGAACATGACACTGTTTATATGACTTTTCTGCAGCTGTTTAAAACTGGGAATTCTGATGTTATAGCCTAACTGTCAGGGGATCCCAGTGCAGGCGACCCCACACCTGCACAGGTACCCTTACAGGCAGACCAAACACGTGACCACACGGACCAGGTAAGTATGGTATATATAAAATATTTTAATAAACCTAGCAGGCTAACTTCTAACACTGACGTCTATTGTGGATTAGTCTGTATTTAATAACAATTTTAACCAATTTGTATCCTTATTGTTAATTTATTTTTCTGTTATTAGACTTTTATAAACCATATGTTGTCATTTTAAATTTAAAGAGAACCAAAGCACATTCTAGAATGTAAATATGACATTTAATTATATATTGGTATTTAAGACAGTCATATTAAAAAAACACACTAGCTGCCTTGTTTAAACAGACTGCTGATAGTGTGTATACATATTGAGATACCTACATGGTGTTAAAGCTTGCTGGCCAATCTGTTCTATACTTTCATTTAATAGGACCTTGAGCAAAGGCTGACTGCAGTGAACATCAGTGGGATTATTGGACAGCAAGTCAGCTATACATAGGGAAATGTTTTTGTTTTTTTAATAAATAGTTTGTATAAGCTCCTACATGTATCTGTTAATGCTTTTTTTTTAATTATTAGAATATTTTTAATGTACTTTTTCTTTGCTGTCCTCTGCCCCCAGCACTTTCTGATTGTACCCACCTAATAGCACAGTCTACTGAGGTGTTCACTGCAGTCTGCCTGTGGCTGCACAGCCTATGCTTTTAATCGCCCTGAGCCTATATCACGTGGATGACAACCTAATTGTCAGGCTGCAGACCGGGATTTCCATAGAAGTAATTGGAGGCCGCAGTGTGCATATGGGAGTACAGGACACAAAAGTGCTCTTATTCATCAATTGCTGTTTTAGGTTCAGTGCTTTGTTAGATTAGGCATTGTCTCTCCATGTTTTTGAACAATAGCTGATATTTACATGTGTGTCTTAAAATGGCTCATATTTTTAATAACGAGAGAAAATCCACAAGCAGGCATAGCTAGGTAATATGAAATGATTTTCTGTGCTCTAAAGAGGTTCCCAAGGAGTTGCACACTTACTCGTACAAAAGGTGCTTAGCCCTTATTTTGGTTATATATATATATATATAGTTTATAAAACGGGTATTTTCATGTGCAATATTGCTTCCAGTTATTCAATTTCTTAATGTTCTATGTGTGTAGAACTTTTTTTTTTTTTGTTTCCTAGCAAACACGGGTTGTGCTTAAGGCTAGATTTACACTATTGTGTGGTGGAAATGCGTGGCAATGACCAATATAGGTGTTGGTGCGCTGCTGTACCAATCATTCTGACTGTCACCCCAACACAGCTGCCTTGCAGCACACTACAATGCACAGTAACTCTCTGTGTTGTGGTACATTGCTAAAATAGTGCACTCTTTTTGTGCATTTGCAGCTCATAAAAAGGAAAGGGCTGCCTTAATGCAAAGGACATTAAACACACCACAGCAGACTTCACTGGTGTGCAGCGCACTTGTGCTGGCAGTAATGCTACTTTTTTGGTGTGTTACGCAGTCTATTTAAATGAATGGGCTGCCTTAACACAACGCATATTAATGTGTGAGCAGTAAACGTACCACAAAGATGTACATGGGATCTTAAAATTGTTTAAGATGAGAACTGTTATATAGATATATATACATACATACATACTGCAAAAAAAAATACTCCACATATACACTTCCTGGTCCCCAAAAAGTCACACACTCTCTAATATTTTGTTGGACTGCCTTTAGCTTTCATTACAACACACATTCACAATGGTGTCATTTCAACAAGCTTATGCAGTGTCACAACATTTTATTTATTTATTACATGTATTTATATAGCACCAACAATTATAGCACCTGCACTTTACGTAGTAGCACCTTCACATCAGCCTTTGTCCTCAAGGAGCTTACAATCTAAGATAGGAGCCAATTAACCTACCAGCATGTCTTTAGAGTGTGAGAGGAAACTGGAGTACCCGGAGAAAACCCACATTAGCACCGGGAGAACATGAAAACTCCTTACAGATAGCGTCTTGACTGGGATTTTAACCGGGGACCCTCACTGCTGCTTGTAGTGATGATGGGAGAGTTGGATAAAGTTGTATCTAGCACATCCCATAGATTCTCAATGAGGTTAAGGTCTGGACCACTCTTTCACAATTTGAGCCCAATGAATTCTGGCATTGTCATCCTGAAATATGCCGTGCCATCATGGAAGAAAAAAATCCATTGCTAGAAAAGCCTGATCACTCAGTATATTCAGGTAAGCAGCTGACCTCATTTTTTGGGGACATAACGATGCTTAACCTAGACTAATTATCCTATGGAAGGCTCTTACCTCTTTGCTTAGCTAAATCCAGGTGGTGACTTTTGTTTGGCCAGGCACTGTACATACTATGTGTGCACAACACATGCTAAGCATATCCATGCACACCAAATACACGGTACACATCCAGAGGAAAAGTAAGGCCTAGTATTTCATAATACAGTTTCTTTTAAATTCTTATAATTTTTATATTATATTCCTATATTTTTGGAAAGAAACTAATATTTTTATTCTAGATTACACTTAACGTAACATTGCAAAAAGTTTCAAGTAATAACCTTATTTATTCAGTGGTATGGGAATGATCAAATTGTGTTATAACTGAATTATAGGAATTATAGTAGTGTGCATTGTTGAAAATCTGTGTAGTCTCAGTTCTAATTACACAGAGGGATTCTTTCTGGTGAGTGTATACAGGAAAATATCTAATTCTATTCTGATGAGCTTGCTATCTAAATTGCAGGTGAGACATAGAGGCTGTTTTTGTTAGGAGGCCTTTGTCAGATTTCAGGGTAAGAAAAACACACAGATGTTGTCACAGATGGGTAGTGCTTGAAGGCCAAATACAAATTTATTGTAAATAATTTCTCTGAGGGCCTCCTTCAGGTAAAAGGATCATTTTACCAAACATATCATTAGGAGTACAATGAGTCTGATGACTCTGAAAATGCATGTGGTGATAATTGGCATAATTTTTGTACTCCTTCAGGTCCATGCAATTTTTTTTTTTACTTTGCTACAATTTGCATTACATTTGAATTTGAAAAAGAAGTTTGTGACAATGGACCAGGAGGCCGTAACTGTGCAGCCTCAAAAGCAGGTTACACAGTTGATTTTGAGCAATAACAATAAAATAAACAGTTTTGCACAAAAAAACAATCTGTTTCACAACCTAAATGTAACCATATTGTGAACTTAATGACAAAAAATAGATGAATATGTCTGAGTGTCCTTATTTCTTATAAAAGAAGTTCAAATGGTAGTCCATTCAGTGATATAAAAGTGTGCCTGTGCTGCTAATCCTATACCACTTTGCTCCACTCTACCACTCTACACATGAACCCCCACTTTTGATTTGAGTAATACCTGTGGCAGATAGTGTAGAGGTTTGGAAATTAAATGAGAGCATTAGATTTGACAAATGCCTGTGGCAGATAGCATAGGGGTTAGGCAATGAGAGCTTTAAAGTGACATTAACCCCTTCGTGACGGGAGACGTACAGTGTACGTCCCGTCACAAAGTGGCTATATGACTGGCCACGTACACTGTACGTGCCGAGTTATATTAGCCTCTGTAATGCTGGTAACTGCTGATTCTCAGCAGTTCCAGTCATTAATTAATGCCTCACTATTGAGACATTCATTAATGAAATAGTTAAGCTTTTTTAAAAGCTTCTTTCTTTCATTAATGAAAGAATGAAGCCTTTACATTCAGATACGGGTTCGCTAAATAGCGATCCCGTATCTGACAGCTGAAGATAGCAGAGAGGTAGCAGTGACTCACCTCTCTGCTATTCGTTTTGACAGCTGGAGAGCCTGGCCCGATGTTAAATGATACATTTCAACCACTAGATACAAAATGTATCTCGAGTGAAATGTATCACTTCTGTATCACTTCTGATCGTCTAGGAACGACCAAAGACCTTTAGTGAGATCTGATTCTGACATGCTGTCAGGATCAGTCTCTAAAGTTATTATTAGCTGTTCCTAAGCTTGGAGCAGCCTGATAACTAAAAATGTTAAAAAGTTAATTTATTAAGCAGTCATAGTGATTGCTTGATATAAACTGACAAAAAA